TCCTATTTTAATGGTCCTTTGATTTGATTTCCTATTTTGAGTCTAGTCGAGTTAGAATTAATTATAGTATTAATTTCTAAATTTTGTAATTCCATAATTTTAGGATCACATCTCCTAAATTATGTGGCTGAATATTTTATCATTATTTTATATTATTTCTCCTTTTAGTATTAGGAAATTAGGGTTTTAATTTTAAGAAATATTCTTTTCTATAAGCCTATATAAATTAGGCATGCTCCCTCTTGTAAAGAGAACAAAAGTTGAATGAAATTATTCATTTTAGAGTTTATAACTCTTGTGAGCCTTAGTGCTTTGTGGTGGCATCCTGTGTGAGAAACAGACGTGATCAAGAGTGTGATCAACTCTTGTGGTGTCTTCGAAAGTTGAGGTTCCTAGAGGCAGGTGCTTTAAAAGATCTTCTCCTTGATTATTATCCTATTGTTTACTTCATATTTTTTTTATTTCTGTCATAAATTTCGTCCCTTTCTTTTTCTTCTTATGTTTTTATTGTGTTTCAGGGTTCTGTCCCTAACTAATATGATTCTACCTCCGCATCCCCTATCATCTATGATTATAAGATTCTAATTGCCTTTAAATTTAGGAATAGACCCTGAAAGAGTATTGTCATTGAGAACCAACCGTGTAAGAGTTGCACACTTTCCCAAATCTTGAGGTATGCCCCCTTGAAGTTGATTAAGACCTAAATACAGAGTGCGCAGTTGCTTTCCAAAACAAAGATTTGGCGGGATGTTACCAGTGAATGTATTATTCATCAATCTCAGCATCACTAAACTGCTACTGATTCCCAAACCTTGAGGAATTGGTCCAAAGAATTGGTTGTCAGACAATGAGATATTTTTCAGATGCTTGAGCTCTGTCAACTCAGAAGATAATTTCCCGGTGAGGTTATTATCCTGAAGAAGGACATGCTTGACACTCTGAATCTTCCAAATGGTAAGTGGAATTTCACCTGTCAAATGGTTGGTATACAACTCAAGGTCCTCCAATTTAGTTAGCCTTCGCAACTCATTTGGAATGGCTCCCTGCAGTTGATTGGAATATAAACGTAACGACTTCAAAGATTTGCAGTTTCTAATTTCTGGAGGCATTTTTCCAGACAATTGAATCTTAGAAAGATCAATATACTCAAGCAGACTACAATTGCCTAACTCTGGGGGTATTGTTCCTGAGAAACCATTTATTGCCAACGAAACGTTCTGCAAGTGAGTCAACTGTCCAATTTCTGGCCCAAGCGGTCCAAAAATCTGAGATGCAGTGAGGTTTAGGAAGACCACGTTGTTGTAGTGGTCGCATTTTATTCCTATCCAAGAACAAGGAGTAGAATCAGAGGACTTCCAGCTGGACTTCAAAGAAGGAGGCACAGAAGTCCAGTGGTTGAGGAGTGACAATAGAATCAGCCCATCCGAATTCAAGGTAGAAGCAATGTAGAAAGGAGCAGACAAGCATAGAATAAATAATAGGAGCTTCATTGGGAGAAGAAAAGAGTTGACACTGAGAAAAAAAAAGTGTTGAAGAACAAAGGGTGCTTACTTTGGTGCTGCTTAGAACAAGCGTGCGTAATTGAAAGGTTGTGTACAGGTATTTGCACAGTGCTATGGATGAAGTTGATGTAATGTGAAGCACAGGAAGTTGCCGTGTGAAAACGTTGAGGAGGCATTCCTCTCGTTGAGATTACAGTCTGTCGTCCAGCACCTTTTTTGTAAAAAAAAAAAAAAAAATTGCTTTGTTTTCGGGAGATTCTACATCAACTTCTTTTCTCGTTTCTGTTAGATGCTCCATATACGATGCTTATCATTCTAGCTACCAATCAAAGTATGTCAAGCCTATTTCCTTGAAGTTTCGTGGGAGGAATGCACATATATACACACAAAGTTATACGACCTCAAAGTTGTCAATTCTTCATCATTAAAGCGTATGGAGTTTAGTCAAAAATCAGAAGAGGTTGGCAATTGAGAACCCAATGCTTAACAAAGATGGTCCCCGTCAGGAAAAAGAGTGGAAGCTTTCACATTGGAGTCCTGACTAGTTGACTTCGTTGTTGTGGATTTAGGGCCAATTTGTTTAAGATTTATTAAAGAAGAAGAAGAAGAAGAAGAAGAAGAAGAAGTGATTTTAAACAAGAAAAAATTTGTTAAGATTGTGAGGGAGGTAAGCTAAACACAATGAATGATGTATCAAAAAAATAAAAGAAGCTTATTTTCATAAACTATTTGAAATATCATATTAAAAAAAAGCTAAAAACATTGTTTTAAACTTAATGTATTCCAATATCTCAAGTGTTAAATAACTTTTTCCTGCAATTTTAGACAAACTAGCCCTTAATAAATATCATTGTCAATGTTTGTTCACTAGTTTTCCTTTACATAAATTCTACAATGACATCCCAATCTTCTAATGGGAGTGCCCTCACTTGACGGATCTGGTCCACATACAGATGATTCAAGTTTGCCATTATGTGTGTAGACTAATTATCTGAGCACAATCAATACATTACATATCATAAGAGCAGACATATCAAGTCCCAACCAATATACATACAAGTAATGCTATCTTACTAATTCCAGTGTGTGTGAGGATCAACTGTCCATCTTTTCCTTGATTATTATTTTACCAATTAAATTGCTTGATAACATCTCTCATAGTTCGTCTCATGCGTGGATCTGCCTCTGTGCATCTCAGAGCCAGGGAAAACAATTCGGTGACTTGTTGGAGTTCATTGGGTTTTGAATTCAAAACCTCCTCTAAGAGGCTTGAATCAACAATTTTATGAATGTCTCCTGTCTCCTCTAACAGACTTCTGTGGGTGTTTCAAAGAATTCCACAACATCTATCATTTTCAGTCTCTTTCCCTGATCTTTCTGAATACATATCAAAGCCAGTAAAAGTGCTTTGATAACTTGCGCCTTCACATTTACATCTGAAAGCTCCCTGCCAAGGCTTGAATCAACAATTTCTTCAAGTTCTCTTGTTCCCCTCCATACAGACTTAAACCACCCTACTAAAGTGGTTTTCTGCTCCATAAATGAGGAATCTAAGGGGCTATTTGAAATTGTTTTTATTTTATTGTTCTGAAACTTGGTGTTTTGTAAAACATATTTTGAGAATAAAAAATTAATGAAAATAGGTGTTTTTCTCATCCTCTTTTGTTCTCTAGAATAATAATTCCAAAATACTTGAAAGTTGTTTCTATTTTTCTGTTCTTCAGAACAATTTTTTTTATTCTTTAAAACACTTTTTGAAAATATGTTACCAAATAGATTTTTTTGTTCTTTTATTCTGAAAAACAGAAAACTATTCTCAGAGCAGGTTACCAAACAGGCCCTAATACTTCCTTTCTGGTTATTAGCTCAAGCAAAACTACCTCATAACTATATATATCAAGCTCACAACTTGGTACTATTGCATCGGTGATCTCTATCAACAATGATGGATCCAGAAAAATTAGTTTATGGAGGTAAAATTTGTACATAAGATAAATGTTAATATTAGTACAATCACTAAATTAATTATAATTTTTATTAAATTATATTGAATATAAAATTTATTAAAATTAAATGCTATTAAAGAACTATACATAAAATATAAAATTATAATAATATAAAATTATATCTATTAGAATTTTGCTTTTCATTTTAATTAATAAAACTTAAATTTCTTGAGTTTTGATCAATAAAAGTGAGTTCAATGGATAAGAACTTAGTTCATGATCTTTTAAGATCTGTCTCATGCATGCATCTAAACTTTTAAATGCCAATAAAATTTAATTCTTTTGTATAGTATACTTTTTTTGTGAAAAAAAAATTTCAATTTAAACATACAATCAGAGATATTATTTTTCAAACTATTTCTCCCTTCTTTTTAAAACTCTTTCTATTTAAGGTTAAAACACATAAATAAGACCTTGGTCAAGTAAACTTTTTAGGAAATTAGTTAAAAAAATTTATAAGACAACATGAATTTTCTTTTCTTTTTTGAGGGGGTAGGGGGTAGCTGAAATTTTTGAATGGAGACAAATAAAATATTTAAAATTATTATGTGTCTTTTTTTTTTTTTTTGGGCTTGTGGGCGCAATTGCCCCCTTTATAATACAAGCAGATCTGTCCCTGTCTGTCAAGACAACATTAACAATATAAATTGAAAGAGAAACTATACCTTTGGCTTCTGTTCATTTTTGTTTATGAGAATAAGAAACTATTAATTGCTCAATGTGGAGGAAAATGGCTATCCCTCTTCTACCTGCACGCTTACCTTTACTGCTAGTTCATCATCTAGATAGATATGTTCTTCCTATAGGCTGAAATCTACCTAGTTTTATTAACATGTCACAAATGGAGAATGAGCAAGTGTAGAACAAAAGCAATTACCTGGGGCCATAAACCCTCGTGTGCCTAGATGATATGTTGACCGCATACGCGTCACAGTAGAGGACTGATTCAAAGCAATGGAAATACCAAAATCAGCAATTTAAGGCTGCATATCAGAGTCAAGGAGTATATTCTTTGGCTTGATATCTCGATGCAATATGGGAGGATCAAAGTCGTGATGGAGATATGCCAGTCCTTTTGCAATTCCAATAGCAATCTTATGGCGGATAGTCCAAGCTAAGCATGTTTGTGGATTTTTTTTCATGCAAAACATCATGAAGGCTTCCATTTTCCATGCACCTGCTGACGGTTAGACCATACTCCTCATTCTCCAAGAAGCCTGGGCATCTTGCCACATTTTGATGCCTAGTCTTTCTAGTCATTTCAATTTCTTTGATCATGTTTTTCCTCCTACTTTCCCTGGGAAAGTTAACATTCTTAACAGCAAAAACTCCAAAATCAAGTCTGGCTTTATAAACAATTCCATGCCCGCCTTTACCAATAATATATCGATCATGTAGATACTCTGTAGCATTTATCAGGTCAATAATTCTGAATCCTCCTTTGTCATTTGAATCCAAAGCCTCTTGCGCTTCACAATCAGCATTCCCCTCCAACATAGATCAATGGCCAACATCGTTGATGGAAAAAACTCGCTCACGAAAATAAGGATCGAAGTCCTCAGGTTCTTGGCCAAAGACCTTCTCCTGAGATCGTCGGCCGCAATGGTGGTCATAAATCAGTAGTATTACCAACAGGCAAATGATAAACACTACAAATCCAAGTACTATAAATAAGATTGAACGTTTACTGCCTTTGTGATCAGTTGATTCAGGAACACATGGTTTGAAGAAGCTAGATTTGCAAGTGGAGGCATTTGAGGTTGAACAACGGACACACAGACCAGGGTTTCCCATGAATGATAATGGCAGCAAATTCAGATGTTGCATTTTCCACTCTGGCAAAGCACCGACAAAGGAGTTTTGTGATATATTGACTTCTGTTAATGAAGAGAGATCACCAAGAACATGTATGCTTCCTGTCAAATTGTTCAAGGATATATCCAAAATTTGCAACTTTTTCAACTTCCCAATTTCTAAAGGAATCACACCTGTTAATTTGTTAGCACTCAGATTCAATCCATACAAGAGATTCTGCAATGATCCCATTGATGTTGGAATTTTTCCTCCAAACATATTTCCTCCCAGTTGTAGCTCGAGAAGCTGGACATATTCTGAGAAGAAAGATGGGATAACGCCACTAAAGCAATTCTCCCTTAAAGTTAATTTGGTTAGTCTTCCCCAACTCCTCAAGTTTGGCGGGAATGAACCATTAAGAAGATTGAATCCCACATCAAATGTCTCCATTTTGGTACAGTATGATAGTTGCCTTGGCAAAGGACCTTCTAGGTTGTTGTGAGCAAGGTTCAAAGCCTGAAGGTGGAAAAGGTTTCCTAGCTCTGAGGGTATAGGCCCAGTAATGTTGTTCGCGGACAAAATTAAAGCAGTGAGATTTGTGCAGTTCCCTAAACTTGATGGAATTGTTCCAGTAATATTGTTCTTACTGATGTCCATATATATGAGATTCTGATTGCCTTCAAATTCAGGAATAGATCCAGAAAGATTATTTTCATTGAGAACCAACCTCCTAAGAGTCGCACATTTTCCAATATCATGAGGTATGCCCCCTTGGAGTCTATTAAAACCTAAATTTAGTGGGCGTAATTTCTTTCCAAAACAAAGATTTGGAGGGATGTTACCAGTGAACTTATTATTCATCAAGTCCAACTTCACCAAACTGCTATTGATTCCCAAGCCTTGAGGTTTTGATCCAAAGAATTGGTTGTCAAACAATGAGATATTTTCCATATGCTTAAGCTCTGTCAGCTCTGAAGGTAATTTCCCAAAAAGGCTATTGTTATGAAGAAGGATATGCTTAAGACTTTGAATCTTCCCAATGGTAAGTGGAATTTCACCGGTCAAATGATTATAATACAATTCAAGGTCCTCTAGTTTGCACAGTCTTCTCAATTCATTTGGAATGGCTCCCTCTAGTTGATTGGAATAAAAATGTAACGACTTCACAGATTTGCAGTTACCAATTTCTGGAGGTATATTTCCAGAAAAATGGTTCTCAGAAAGATCTATATACTTTAGCAAACTGCAATTGCCTAACTCAGGCGGTATCCTTCCTGAGAACCCATTTTTGGCCAATAAAAGGTTCTGCAAGTGAGCCAACTGAACAATTTCTGCTCCTAGTTGACCAAAAATCCGGTATGCAGTGAGGTTTAGGTAAACCACATTGCTGTAACGGTCGCATTCCATTCCTGTCCATAAGAAAGGGGTGGAATCAGAGGACTTCCAGCTTGACTTTAAGGAAGGAGGCGCAGAAGTCCAGTGGATGAGCAGAGACAATAGAGTCAACCCATCGGAACTCAAGGCAGAAGCAACATATAAAGGGGCAAACAAGCGTAATAAGATGAAGTGGAGACTCATTCGGCCAGGGGAATTCTCTTTAAACAAAGAAAAATTATTGACACAAAGATGGGAAAGATTGGAGAGGAGCAAAAAGCGCTCACCTGGCTGCAACTTAGAACAAGTGCAAGCAATTAGAAGGGTGTTGTATAGGTATTTGCCCACTGTTAAGGAGGAAGCTGATTAAATGTGAAGGAGAGGAAGCTTCAGAGTGAAGATGTAGCTGGGCCCTCTCTCATTGAGACTACTATTAAATATTCAACACTTTTTTTGGGGGGATGGACGGGGAAAACTGGAAGAATCAGATTTCAGTAAGTTTAGATTAAAAGAGGTGCACGAGTCAGTACTTCAAGAATGAAGCAGAGTCAACCCACTGGAGCTCAAACCAGAAGCCATGTATAAGTGAGCAGAGAAGCATGGGATCGACAACTGGAGTTTCCGTGAGAGTGAAACTAAAGTGCTAGCTTAAAGTAAAAGGGGATGGAAATGATATCAAAAAGTATTCAAAGGACCAAAAAGTGTTTCCCTTGCTGCAGCTTGAAAGAAGGATAAGCAAATGCAATATGCAGTGGACATTGGTGGGCGTCACTTCTTTCCTTTGTCTTCACTCCAGCAACCCACCTTCCCCTATTCTTTTTCTTTGTTTTCTATTCTTCACTTTAGCAATGGCAAAAGATAAGTAAGTTTCAATGCATCTTTTAGCTCTTTATTTAAAGAGAAGTTGAATGAGATGAAAAGTGGGAACAGTTTTGGGCAATTATAGCGATTGAAATGGAAAAGGAGAAAGCTTTCACTTTCAAATATCGATTATTGTGGATCAAATAAATATCCTTTTTGATGTCTCTTCATTCCATACTATTATTTTCCAACTTTTTTTTTGGGAGATGCTAATTCAAATAAACAAATATCTCATAGGTATTGAAATTTGGAAAAGCAGTGGAAATATAATTTTCTGTTTAATTATAACTTTTCGGGACACAAAATCAAAAATATAATTGCATTAAGCATGAAACTTCAGAAGAAAGACAGGATATGCACAATGCTTTATATAAAATGAAAACATAAATTTTACAGTGTGACAAAATAAAATAAGTATATTCAAGATAAAAAATATTTTATATTCTTGCTTTAAAAATAATAAAATTTATTGAACAATGATAACAAAATGACAAACAAAAGAAAAAATAATTATACGACTATCAAAGAATCCTAATATAGTAATCTGAAAAGGCAGCCTAATATAACATTTTAACCAGACAAGGGCACGAGATTTTCAACCAAAGGCTAATTTTGCCATCATGAAAAACTTCAGGAAGTTTAGTCATGACAAATAAACTAGTTTGGTAATTTAAAACCTGAGTTCATCAAAGGCGAGGCCTTTTATGTAGTAATTTTGCAGTTGCAGGAGCATAAACAATAACAGATTACATCCCATTCAAGCAACTATTAGTGTACCCTTTATTTTTCCAAATGGGTTCTTTGAATATCTCTCATGAAGTCAAGAAAAGTGCAAAACATAGCAGACATATAAGGCCGCAAATACGAGTTTTAGAACTCAGAATGGGTATAATTTCAGTCCCCAAGAAGATATAAGAAATTATGACAATTAAAGACCTCACAAGGTCATTGATTACAATTATAAAACCCAAATTATTGAAATCCCAATAATAAAATATGTTTCTTATTTAAAATTAAAAATATATATGAATTTATAAAATTGATTTCAAGTATTGAAATTATTATTATGGATTGGAATTATTGTTAATTTCAATTAAAAAAACCAGAATCCAAACTTAGAAGTGGAATTAACAATAATCTCAACCCATAATAGTAAATTCAATAGTCTCAACCCATATTACTTGGAATCCTTGTTTCTCCAATTGACATTAATAATAGTCTCAACTCATAATAGTTATTTCAATAATATATTATTTCCTTGATTTTCTAAGTAGTTTATCTATGTATTAACAAATATAAAAATTCACAAGTAATTAGCTTCATATCCAGAAGTGACTTTGGTAAATTTTAAAGACTATTATATATTCATAAATGTCTTTCGAAAGTTTTATAAGTTAATTTTAGTTTCACAATGGAAAACAATACATTCCTAAGTGCAAATACTAGTTTTCTCAACTAAAATTAACAATAATCTCAACTAATCATAGTTATTTCAATAGCATGTTTTTTATTTAGGTTAAGATATAATTTTATCCTTGAACTTTTTTCGAGGAGCACTGAGCATCATGTATTGATATTGGATAATTTTATCCCTAAACTATTTTCTGAGAAGCAAAAAACCCTTTTTGTTAGTTAACCATTAATTCTTTTTGTTTTCTACCAATGCAACAGGTAAGACTTTGATTATGTCTTATGGTGTTAATTTACCTCTAAACTTTTTTTTTAAAAGCGTTGGGTATCCTCAAATCTTGTTAAAATAAAATTTAATAAATCTTGTTAAAATACTAAAAATTTTAATAGGTAATAATTTAAATATTATTATTTATAAATATTCATTCAAAATTTATAAATTATTTTTTAAATATTAATTGTTCAAACTAATTTTTCATAAATTTATGGATGAATTGTAATATTTTTTTTATATATCAATCATATTGACAATATGATTGAGTTCCTTAAATTGTTTAGGTCATTCTTTGTAATTTTATGAACTAATAGTTTTCCTCCAAAATATTACACCACCCAATTTAATATTTTAATATTTTTAATATTTTGTAATTTTTATTGAAAATAAAAGGAATGAATCTCCAAAAATGAAAAGAATGAACCTCCAAAGTAACATATTTTGTAGCACATTAATGGGATAAGAAATATTAAATATTTTTGTTGGCATATTGTTGGTCCTAATTGATTTTGCATGTTTTTTATTTTACCCCTAATACTACAACATATAAAGAGTATTAAATTTAGATAGTATAATATATTGGAGGAAGATTGTTAGTTAGCAAAAAAAAAATTACAAAGAAAGACCTAAAAGTTTAAGAAACTTAATCAATATTAAAAATATAGGTAAGTTTCCACCCATATGAAAGGCATAACAATATGGACACTGTCTCAAAAAATATTTATAAATTATTTATAAAATATTTAAAAATAATTTGTAATTTTGGATGAATATTTGCAAATAATCATATTTAAATTATTAAATATAAAAATATTTAATATTTTAACAATATTTATTAAATGTTATTTTAACAAGACTCCAGGGTATCTAAGGTTCTTAGAAAATGAATTTAATGACAAATTAGCACCAAATAACATGATTAAAAATCTTACTTATCACTGTGCGTGGAGCCCATGTACATGCTACGTTAGGAAAAAGAATGGCAAAGTTATCGTTGATTAACAAAAAAGGTTTTTTGCTCATTAAAAAATAGTTTAAAAAAAATTGCCTTACTTATCAATACAAAGTGCCCAGCGCTCTTCAAAAAATAGTTCAAGGATGAAAATGTACTTTAATCCTTTTTATTTTTCAAGTTAGGACAATTTTATAAACTCATATATATTTTTAATTTTAAATAAGAACCATAATTTATTATTAAGATTTTAATAATTCAAGACCTCTAATTATAATTAACGATCTTACGCGATCTTTAATTGTCATTTTCTCAAGATACAATGTTAGAGTTATGTTACAATATATCATTAGCAAGGCTTTTCTGAAACTACAATTTGAAGACACGTTGTAATTTGTCAGCTTCAGCAGCACAAGTGCACGAATTTGGTAAGACCAGCAAATTTGCCGGAGCAAACCTTTGTTTGCCTTCAGCTATCCGCATTCCAACTCTCTTGCCAGTTCGAATCCCCTGCAGTCCCTGCAAGGTGCAGTGATCCACACTGCTTTCCGACAATGCAAATAAAATTGATAATTTGAGTTTCTTTTAACAAATTGAAGGCTACGTGCTTACATTGTGAAGTTGATCTTCAAAAACCATCAAAAGGCATCCCCCATTGATGACCAAAACATTTATATCTGCTGCCAAAACTATTATGCTCCACGAAATATAAAAAAAAAAAAATCAATGTAATCCTGTATCTTACAATGCGGGAAAAAGGATTTCATTTCATCTACTCTTACCAAAGACATAAAATCTTACAGTAGGAGTCTCCGATGAATGGATAAAAATTAGCCATAACAAGAAGTTTCCCCTCAGGATCCAAGTTCTATGAGAGGCCAACGTAAAGACATGCTTGGAAACCATAAATAGTTAAATATATAATTCACGGTTAAAATAATATAATTTGATTAAATATGTAAAATTAGTCATATGAAAGACTTTAATATTTAAATAAAAGTTTTTAATTTTTGAGTAAATAAAAAATTTATTCATAAAATCTCATATATGTCTTATATAAATAATAATTATCAATTTCTGATAATAATAAAACACAGTAGCATTAAAATTATTAATTTAGAAATTTAAATTCAACTTAGGGTTCAATATTCAAAAGAAAAAAGGAAAAAGCAAAGAAAATAAAAATAATAAAATCAAACCCGAATCAACCCATGAACCTGCCAAGTTAGCCGGGTTTGTCTAGGTTGAAACCGAGTTATATGTGACTAGTTTCCTCAATCAATCGAATCGACTAGGTGATCTATTCATCAGTTTACAAATCAATCTAGCTAGGTTGGTCTGAGTTTACAAATAATGTAAATAGGTATCTCCAATTGTTAATGGTAAGATATGGGCAGTCCCAAAGCTATTTGTTTACTTGATACAAGAGATTGATTTTGTTTCCATCTTTTACCAAAGAGTGTGTGTTTTCACGGTTGGTGTTGCTAAATTGGCACAAAACCTAATTTTAGATTACCATGATTTTCTTGATTAATTAAAGGAAAATTTTCAATTAAGGATTATGGAAGAGAAATATTTACTTGTGGGTTCCCAAAAAAAAATCTGAAAATTCTTTGCAAAATTTATAAACTCAACTGAAATAAAATGGGTGGCTAGAAAGACTAAAATGTACTTCTGCAAAATTAAGAAGTATTTGATTACTACATATTACTTGCTAATTACTTACTTATACTTGTTAATTCCTTAACAATACTTATTAAATAGTTAACTAGTTAATTTTGTGGCTCTATAATCTTGAAAACATTACTTGTTAATTTGTCAACATGACTTGTTAATTACCTAACTTGTAAATCCTTTACAAAACTTGTTCACTTAACTGAAAAACACCATCATTAGTTGTTTTTTTTTACTTCACTTATTAATTTATCAATATTAGTCATAAATTATTTAACTTCACTTATCAATAATTATACTAATATCAGTTGTTAATTATCTAACTTTTAATTGTTAATTTATTAATATCAATTATAAATTACATGACTTATCAATCATCATACTAGTTTAATCATTTTAGCCTAAATGTATAATCATTATTGTTAATTCTTTAACTTTACTTATTAATTTATTAATATCTATTGTCAATCATTTTTTCTTTTTGTTGCAAAAAAAGTATTTCAATCCTTTCAGCTAACCATTTTATTTCAATTTAGTCCATAAATTTTAGGACCCACAAGTAAATTTTTAAATTTTTTTAGGACCCACAAGTAAATATTGTAACATCTTGATTTTTATATAATAAAGAAATTGTGGAATTTAGGTTTTGAGGAAAAAAATGATAATAATAAGAATTTATATTATTTGAGGTTATTTAGAAATAATATTATGGTTAGGTATTTAATTATAAATTTAAAAATTTAAATTTAAAATTATATAAGCAATATTTAGTTAAGATATAATACATAAATAATTTTTTATTGTGTGTTAAAAAAAAGAGAAGGTAGAAGGAACAAAAAAAAGGGGGGTGAAAGGTTGTTGTTTCTAAGTCCCACATTGGTTAGATGAGGGAAGAGAAGAGGTGCCTTTATGTATAAAAAGGATGGGGTGTGTGCATTAGGAAGCATGAGAGGCTAAGATGCAATTTAGAGGAAATTGCAACTTTTGGCCCAAAGGTTTGAATAATTAAATTTAAACCTATAGTTTTTTTAATATAATTTTAGGACTCACAATCCCATTTTTATATTATTTTTTCTCTCTTCCTCTCACGTTGCTCGGCGTTTTCTCGCAAGGGGGGATTATTTTTTTTTTCTTCAAGTATGTTCTAACTTTCCTGTTTAGATTAGCATTTAAAAATTTATTTAATTACAAAATTAATTTTATAATTATTTTCTAAATAATATTAGCTTTCTAGTGATATGATTATTTTGTAGGATAGAGTAAATATTTTGATTAGAATTTTTCTATAGGATAGTTAATCTGATGATATGATGGATTAAAAATATAGGTTAAAACTCTTAGGGATATAATAAATATTATAGAATATTTTCTTGAGGTTGAAACTCATGTTTAAGAATTTTTGAGTTAAAATCTAGATCTATATGATTGAATTTATGTGGAATCTGAGATGTAGGGATAAACCTATGATTATTAAATATTTATTTAAGTATGAATAAGTATTTTTGAGGTTATAGAAAGGTGATTTGAGGTTTCAGGATAATTTTAAAATTTAATTTATTTTTGGACGAATTTTTAGAATATAGAAGGATGAAATTGTGATACTAGAAGTGATTTGAGGATAAAAAAATTAGTTTATTAGGGTACAAGAATTTTAGAAAAGAATTTGAGAAGTTAAATGAGGCATAAATCTTAAATTAGTGTTAATATGGATTATAGATCTAAGACTTTCTAACTATTTAAATTAGAGTTATTTATTTTAATGTAAAATTAATATATAGTATTGTGAAATAATTATGTAGATTATATTGACAAAGATAGTGGTGAAAAAGGAGTTGTGAAGAGGAACTTGTTATTCAAGACACAAGGTAACCATTATTAATATTTTGTGATGGGTGTGTTTGTGAATGGTTATGTGTTGTTTTGTTGTTTGGAAAAATTATGAATTATTGAAAATAAATACTGTTATATACTTTCGTGAAATCATTGCCAAGTGGGTTAAAAATTTATTTTTTGTTTATCATGATGAGATATTATTATTCGGATATATTTCTGTTTGGATATTTGAATGATGCATGACTTGTCAGGGTATTTTAATGTATGGTATTAATGGGAATTTCTGTTCGGTTAATTATTACCACGTGGTAAGCCCTCATTGGACCCAATGAGTGGCGTGTCGCTTGGTCCAACTCACCTTTGGCCGGGTGATTTGGCGTCCGAGCATGGCGAAAGGAGGATATAAGGTGCATTCATGCAAATTAAATACTTGTTCGGTTTGTTTGAAAGTATTGTTCGGTTAAATATTTTGTGTGCCCACTTAGCAATCGCATGATTAGTTACATCCGCATGCATCATTACATATTAATTTCTGGTTATTGGGACTTTTAAGTCTCATTCCCCGTGGTTAATATTTTTACAGGAGCGAGTCCGGCTGAGAAAGCACCAGAGGTGTAACTATGATGTATGAGACACCATCTTTTACGTTGCCTCTTATTTTAGATTATACAATGTATCTTGTGCGAACTTAGGACATATCTTTTTTGTGAAGCATGTAAACTCTAATCCTTTTTATTAAAAGTATTTGTATGACCAAGAGGATTATGTTTGTCCCTCTTGATTTATGATCTGATTTGAATATCATGACATGAGGATCCTGTCTGTCCCTCATGGTTCTAATTGCTTTTTGAGATATTTTAAGACCTGTGATATATTATCTTGGATGTATCATGGTAGAAATTTTTCTACCATGATAAGGGTATGATAAGGGTTCAATGAAAAAAAAATAATTTGTTGAATTAATAATTTGCGAAAAAAAAATCGGTTTGTAAATTTGAGGGTGTTACAAATATCTCTTTTTTACGATCTTTAACTAAAATTCTCCCATAACTAAAGTTATCTACGTTTAAAAAACTTGGAAGAATGACAAATAAATCTTTCTAAAATAGAAAAATGACAGTTTGATATCATAAAATGTGATAATGATAGTGAAGTTTTAAGAAACTTTTTTAAGATTAAACTTTTGTGTAAAATTACTTTGATACTTTTCTGTGATTTAGAAAGTTGTAATTTTTAAATTATTTTAATCATTCATGGAACCAAACTTATAAATATTCATACGATACTTGTAAATTATATAAAATTAGTTGAATTTTACTTAATGAAAAAAAAATTATTGGTAGAAAATTTTGATTTTATAAATTATTTCGATCACTAGGGAAACCAAACTTACAAATATTTATACTAAACTTATGAATCATATAAAATTAGTTGTAGATGGGTATTAAAGTAATTTCATCCAAAAATTTAATCTCAATGAAGTTCCTTAAAATCTCACTATCATTGTCACATTTCACGAAAATAAATTATCATTGTCCTATTTCAAAGAGATTTCTTTCATTCTCCCAAGAAAAGCTTTTTCTTATAACAAATACATAATATAATTTTTTTAGAGAAAATAATAATAAAATTCTTTTGAATTATATAAATGACAATCTAATCTCTCGAAATGTCATAATTTCAATAAAGTTCCTTAGGACTTTTTTATCAATAAATTTTAAATTAAAAAAATTATTTTACCCTTTTTAACAATTTGTGATTTCTAGTTCAATTCTTACTATTCTTTAAAGAAAAGTTGTGATTTTTTAAACTAAAGTTGTGAAAGGAGTTTATTATTTTGAAAACTTGCTTTGCATTAATAAAAATTATACTTGATAAATTGTGAGTTTTTGTTTAACTCTTGTGATTCACAAAACAAAAGTTGTTATTTTTTAAGTAAAAGTTGTTATTGATGTTTGTTTTTCAATAATAAAAATTACAATAGACAAGTTATAATTTCTTATTCAATTTTTATGATTTACAAAAATAAAATTTATAATTTTTTAAATAAAAGTTATAATTAAAATTTGTTATTTTCATTAAGAGTAAAATTATCTTTTCACTAAAAAAAGTTACTAACAAAAAAATTTTTAAGTACTTCATTGAAATTATAATATTTTAATAGATTAAATTATTATTTATATAATTTGAATGAATTTTGTTATATTTTTTTAATTTTTATTTGATAAAAGTATTAAAAAATAAATCGTTTCATTCAAGTAACTAAAATTTAAACTGACATTTTATTGTTTTACTTTTATATTTACAGAAACGGGAAAAAAGTTTTTTTTTTTTTTTGATTCTCATCATTCGTTAAATTTATAATTAAAATAAATTTATTTAATAAAATAAAATGAATGATGGAGATTGGGAAAGGGAGAAAAACTAAAAAGGGACGGAAAAGAAAGGGAGGAACGCTGTCCCGACACAGAAACCCACCGTGAATTCATTAATTCTTCCAATGTGCAAAGAAATATTTCCTTTCTCACTCTCTCTGACGCACAGCAGCTGGAAAACTTCCATGGCTCTTCCTCGTCTTCAAACTGTTGCATGGTGCCTCAGATTCGCCAAATTGTTGAGTATACTTTATAAATCACTCTCCTCTCCACTGTCCGCCGATTGAATTATGGTGTGCTAGAATTTAGATTCTATCATTTGTACTTTCTTCGACTTTAGACCCTTCATTTTTTTTTTTTTATCTGCATTGATCCACATTATCCCAAACCTATTCTCTCTATCTAGTCCTTTAATTACCGGACATTATCAAGACCTCAATCTAAACTTCCCCAACTCTCTCTCGCGTCTCTCACTGCCTCGTTTTTCACCTGATTTGGGTTTGGGTCCAATTCAGGGGTGTAGAATATGAAAATCAACACTTGTTTACTTCTAGTTTTGAGAAAGCTGAGGCATCAGCACACACTCAGCTCAACGTAGCTCTGCCATACTCGCTCACAGGGACACACACACACAGCTTATATTGCATTTCGGCTGGATAGATGCCCAGCAAATGGGACCTACAGGCTACAACATGTCATTGAAATTTTAAATATCAGTTTTGAACTTTAAACAAAGCTTAGCTCACCTCTGAGAAATTGTAAACCAAAAATTTAAAAAATCACGTTGTAATTTGTCGGATTAAACTGCACAATATCAACTAAATTGTTGACACCAGCAAAATTTGAGGCATACCCTCTGTTTGCCTTCAGCTACTCACATTCTAAATTTGCTTACGTGGAAAGGAATTTGACAGTTCCAGTTACATCCAGGGAAAATTTTTGAAACTATAAATCACATTTTGAAGTTGAAGTTCAAAAACCATCAATAGGCATCTACATTTGAATTGCTGTGCAAGTGAGCTATTTCGCTGCTTGAGAGAAGAAACAATAGACTTCTGAATCTTACATTGCATAATCAACTATGGATTAAGGAGTTCGAACTTGGAAGCTTTTTACTTCTTGTCCTCGGATTAGCATCTTCTAATTGCTTGACAACATCTCTCATTGTGGGTCTCCTGCGTGGATCATTCTCAGTGCATCTCAGAGCCACCAAAAGCACTTTGGTCGCTTGATCGAGAACATTTGAATCCAAAAACTGCCCGGCAAGGCCAGAATCAGCAATCTTGTGAACATCTTCTGTTCCACCCCAGAGAGTTCTGACCCAGCCCACTATATCAACGCCCTCCATAAATGATGGATCTACTGCTTTCTTTCTGGTTATTAACTCAAGCAAAACTACCCCATAACTGTATGCATCAGATTCTCTATTATTTGCTGTTGTATATGCATTCTCTGTAATAGGCCAATATAAACATGTTAGTCAGTACAAGGTTTATGCAAATAAAATAACAAGCAGATTCATAATAGCAATAGAAGAAGTACCTGGTGCAATATAGCCTACTGTGCCAGGGACAGATATAGATGGTGTTGAAGCAGAAGCTTGATCCAAAAGCTTGGCAATACCAAAATCGGCTATGTGAGGCTCCATGTCAGAATCTAGGAGTATGTTTCTTGGTTTGATGTCACGGTGCACTATGGGAGGATCACAGTCGTAATGGAGATAGGCCAGTCCATGAGCAATGCCAATGGCTATCTTATATCGGACATTCCACTCTAAGGATGGCGGTGGATGCTTTTCATGCAAGACTTCATGAAGGCTTCCATTTGGCATGTAGGTGTACAAGATCAGACCAAAGTCCTTTCTCAACCAAAAGTCTTCCAATTTGACCAGATTCCGGTGCCTAATCTTTCCAAGGGTTTGAATTTCTCTAACCATGCTTAAGCTCTTGCCTTTGTTCCCAGCAAATGCAAGCTTCTTCACAGCAAAAACTTGGGCTGGATCTACAGTAGCTTTATAAACTACTCCATGAGCTCCTCTACCAATGATAAATCGGTCATTTAGGTTAGCAGTAGCCTCCATCACTTTGTTAAGTAGTGAGGAAGTACCTTCTTTGGCAGAGATCTGGACTTCTTGATTAGATTTTCGGCCACACACACAGACTACTCCCAGCAGCAAAAGAACAAAAAATATTGACGATCCAAGTGCTATCATTGCTATTTTAACTTTACTAAGGCCTTTCTGGTTTGTCACTCTATCATCACATGGCTTTAGATAGATGCTCTGATTGCAATCCAATCTGTTTGATGATGAACAACTAACACACAGGCCTGGATTTCCCAAAAACGATGAAGGATAAGAATTAAGCAGCTTCATCAGCATCTTTGGTACAGGACCATGAAACAAATTGTATGAAACATTGACTGTAAGTAATGAAGAAAGCTCAGCAAGAACTTTTGTGCTTCCAGTCAGATTGTTTCGAGATAGATCCAGACTTAGCAGATTTGTTAATTTTCCCATCTCTGGAGGGATTTTGCCAATCAGTCCATTAGCACTTAGATTCAACCCATAGCGCAGATTCTGCAATGCCCCAATTGATCCTGGAATTTTTCCTCCAAACATATTCCCACCAAGCTGCAGCTCAGAGAGCTCGTTAAATTCTGACAAGAAATCCGGGATGCCCCCATTAAAATGATTTTCCCATAGAATTAATGTGGTAAGCACCGACCAGCTCCTCAAACTTGGTGGAAATGCACCATTCAGTAAATTGTATCCCACATCAAAACTATCCATTTTAGTACACTTTGATAGCTCGGGTGGCAAAGGACCTTCTAAGTGGTTGTGAGCAAGATGAAGAGTCTTCAGGCTAGCAAGGTGACCTAGCTCTGGTGGTATATGCCCCGCAAAGTTATTATTTGACAAAATTAAATCAGTGACATTGGAGCAGTTTCCCAAACTTGGTGGGATTGAGCCATTAATATTGTTTCTGCTGATATCCATGAACGTGAGATTTGGATTATATTGAAAATCAGGAAAAGGCCCTGTAAAATTATTTTCTTTCAGAATCAACCTTCTAAGAGTCGTACACATTCCTACATCTGGAGGTATTCTGCCTTGAAGCTGATTGAGGCCCAAATTCAGCACAGTTAATTTGTTTCCAGAGCAAAGATTTGGTGGGATGTTTCCAGTGAACTTATTATTCGTAAAGTCCAACTGTACTAAACGGCTTTTGATTCCCAAAGTTTGAGGTATGACTCCAGAGAAGTGGTTGTTAAACAATGAGATATTCTTCAGATGCTTGAGCTCTGTCATCTCCAAAGGTAGTTCCCCAGAAAGGCTATTATTGTACACAAGAATATGCTCAAGACTTTGAATCTTCCAGACACTAAGAGGAATTTCACCGGTAAAACGGTTGGAAAACAATTCAAGATCCTGTAATTCACTCAACTCTCCTAGCTCACTAGGAATTTCACCCCCAAGTTGATTGGAATACAAATGCAACCGTGTCAAAGACTTACAATTTCTGATCTCCGGAGGTATTTCTCCGGACAAATAATTCACAGGAAGGCTCAAGATGGAAAGCTTGTGAAGAAGACCAATGGAGGCTGGAATATTGCCAGTTAGGCCACTACTAACAGCAGCAAATTGGGTTAAACCACTACAATTCCCCAAGCTTGAAGGAATTCCTCCACTAAATGCGTTGTATGACAGATCTAAGAAAAGCAGATTTTCACAACTGCCAGAACCCAATGGAATAGTGCCCCTAAGATTATTATTAGCAAAGCCCAAATAAACTATATTATGGAGATTGTTAAGAGTCTCAGGAAGGGTTCCCTGAAACTGATTCTCATTCAAGAACAATTCCTGCAATTTACTACAATTCCCAATTGGGGAAGGAATTTCCCCAGACAACTTATTATTCTGAAGATACAGGACTAAAAGCTCACTCATGTTTCCTATACCTGAAGGAATGGAACCGTTGAGAGAGTTATCAGACATTTCGACATGTTGCAGGTGAGGGATTTGAGTGATGAATTCTGGGATTTGACCAGTGAGTTGATTATAAGAAAGGCTGATAAACTTCAAATTTTGTAAGCTTTTGAAGGTATCAGGCACTTGTCCACTGAAGCTGTTTCCAGAAAGTTCCAAGTATTCTAGCACGCTAAAATTTCCTAACTCAGGAAGAATTGTTCCAGAGAACCCATTATTCATCAATACAAGGCTCTTCAAGTGATTCAGAAGTCCAACCTCAGGTCCTAATTGACCCTCAATCCCATAACCAGTGAGGTTAAGAGAGATCACATTGTGGGCATGGTCGCACTGGATTCCAACCCACGAGCAAGGGGTGGAATCTGAGAGATTCCAGGTGGACTTTACAGGATGAGGCACAGAAGTCCAATGCCTCAAGAGTGACAATAGAGTCACCCCATCAGAGCTCAAAGCAGAAACTGAGCATAACAAGGAAGAAAAACATAGAGGAAGAAGAACCCAAAGAAACCTCATTGGTAACAAGACAAGAGACTCGACGAGACACCAACAAAGGTTGGAACTTGGAACTTGGAACTTGGAAGGCTTACGTTACGAGGAACAGAAAGCACGTGCCTTGTTTGTTGCCTTATAGCAGCTGTTTACGAGAAGAAGTTTCTTGGAATTAACATTCTTTGTGAAGAATGAAACTGGAACAGGCTTGAACATTAGAAGAAAGAGAAAGGAGAAAAACGCAGAGAGGAGCAGTGTGAACGGAGGACTAGAAAGAAGCTACAATGGTCGTAATGGCGGTGGTGTCAGGAGCTGATTAATCATAATCATAAAATAAAAAGAATGAGAGTGATTCAGTTATTGATGTGCTGCTCTACTGCCACGCACACACGCATATAATTATTAATATAAATGAATGAATGTCCAAGTCTTTGTAACTGTATTAATTAATGCATAGGTTTGGCACTTGGCTGGTGTGAAATCTGTACGCAGTCCACTTATAACGTAAACGGTGGGTGAACGAACGTTCTGGACACGTTTGACAAGTTTGAAGCCATTTTCTCATTAAACAAATATTCCCTCTTCATAGAGCAAAAATGAAAAATGAATAAACTGAGTATTATTCCATGCACACTAATTACAATGAATAGTGAATACATATTTATAGTGTGGTCTGATCAATAAGAAGATGACATGTTTTACAAAAAGAATGATCTAGAATTTGTGATAGCGTGTGAGGATCATGTGATGCCTAATTATATTTTCTTCTTCTTGTTATTTGATGTGGAGTCCTTTGTTGATGTGGTGATGGATGTATGCTTATATGTTTCAACATTCCCTCGCGAATCAAATTGGAATGGAAGAATAATGAGACTCAATCTTAAAGTAGCAAAGTGAGAAGAGGGAAGAGGTTTGGTAAGAATGTTCGCTAATTGATCTTTGGAAGAGACATGTAGTATGTGGAGTAGGTTGGCTGCCATACATTCACAGACAAAATGATAATCAAGAGAGATGTGTTTAGCCCGAGAGTGGAAGACAAGATTGGCAACTAGATAGGTGGCACCCAAGTTGTCACAATAGAGAAAGTGTGCTTGACGCAAGTGAATGCCAAGTTCATACAGGAGACTTTGAAGCTAGATTAGTTCACTAGTAGTGGTAGTGATAGCTTTGTATTCGGCTTCTGTGTTGGATCGTGCAACTGTTGGTTGCTTGCATGAGCTCTAGGCAATGAGATTTGGACCAAAAAAAATGGCAAAAGCACCTATAGACTGTAGATCATCCGAATTTCCACCCCAGTCAACATCCGAAAATGCAGAGAGGGTACGTGAAGTTGAAGGTCGAATGTACAGAGCAAGATGAGAGGTGCCTTGCAAGTAACCAAGGATTCGTTTGACTGCAGTCTAGTGGGTTTCCTTTAGATCATGCATAAATTGACAAACTCTATTTGCAGCGAACATGATATTAGGATGAATGGAATTGAGATATTGAAGACTACCAACAATGCTGTGATAGAGCAGGGGGTCGTGAAATGAAGGATTGTCATGAGTGGAAAGGTGCATATTAGGTGCTATTGGTGAGGAAACAGGGCGTGCTTTGGACATTTTGGCCTTGACAAGGAGATCTTGAATATATTTTCGTTGGGATAAAATAAGACTAGATTGATTAGATAGTACTTCAACACCCAAAAAATAATGAAGATTGCCAAGATCTTTAACAAGAAAAGATTCTCCCAATGCAGAAATCAAGTCTTAAACAGCAGTAGTAAAGGAGCCAGTGATTATTATGTCATCAACATATACCAGGACATACATAGTATAGAAGGTATTGGTGCAAATAAATAAGGAAGAATCAGACCTGGAGGAGCGAAAACCCAATTGTTGAAGTCAGGAACTTAGCCAAGCAAACCAAGCTCGTGGAGCTTGTTTCAGACCATAGATGGCATGATTTAATTTACAGACATAGTAAGGATAATCTGGATGGACAAACCTAAGAGGTTGTTGCATGTAAACATTTTCTTAAAGAAACCCATGCAGAAACACATTCTGAACATCAATTTGTTTGAGAGGCCAACCATGAGAGACAGCAATTGAAAGGATGATTCGAACAGTGAGAGGTTTTACCACTGGAGAGAAGGTGTCGGTAAAGTTGATGCCCAGTTATTGGTGAAAACCTTTGGCCACAAGGTGAGCTTTGCATTGATCAAGACTACTATCAGCGTGATATATTTTTCAGAATATCCATTTGCATCCCACAACATTTATGGATTTGGAGAGGGGAACCAAGATCCATATGTGAGTAGAAAGTAAAGCATGAAATTCTTAGCAGAGAGCCTAACACCATTCTAAAAATCGAAGAGTAAAAGTGACCAAAGAGGGGTTTGGTGGTTCAGGACCCGAGGAGTGATGGGCTCAAGGTGGCGGCTTAGAGATAAAGGCATCAGGTAGAGCTTTAGGTTCGAAGATATTAGCACAGGATCTAGTGATCATAGGATATTTAGGAGGTGGCGGTGGGGTCGGTGCTGGAGAGGATGATGATGAGGTGTTAGAAGGTGAGGATGAGGGAAATGGGACGACGCTGGTGGACTGATGAGAAGTGACAATATTAGGAGAAGATGGGGAAGTTATTGTGTTTGGGGTAAGTGCTGGGCTTGGTGTAGTTGGGCCTGGGAAGTAAGGTAAAATTAAGTGAGGTGTAATAGGGGCTGGTGGGCTGTTAGTGACATAAGAGGAGAAGAGATATTGGGCTTCATAAAAAATGACATCTCTAGAGGTGTAAAGTCAGCCTGTGGGTAAATGTAGACAAAGATAGCCTAAATGGTTGGAAGCATAGTTGAGAAATGCACAAGAGAGTGATTGTGGAGCTAATTTATAAGGTGCATAAGGTTTGAGATTGGGCTAACATGTAGAGCCAAAAGTTTTTAAGATATGATAGTTTGGTTTTTGGAGAAAAAGAAGTTCAAATAGGCTTAAGCCTTGTAGAGATGGACTTGGGAGTCTGTTTATTAGATAGGAGGCAGTGGCAAAGGTAAAGGTCCAATAAGTTTGAGGCACAGATGCGTGTGTAAGAAGAGCGAGACCTTTCTCAACAATAGTACAGTGACACCTTTCCACTGTGCCATTCTATGTGTGTGTGTGTGGACAGGTAATGCGATGGTGAATCCTTAAGGTAATAAGATCTTTATGCAGTGATCGAAATTCTCCACCCCAATCAGATTGAAAAGAACGTATTGTGGAATTAAAAAAAGTGTGAACAAGTGATCGAAATTGATGAAAAATAGAACGAACTTCACTTTTGGAATGAATAGGATAAAACCAAATATGACAAGAGTAGTCATCAATAAAGGATACATAGTAACGAAAACCAGTAATGGAAATGATTGGGGAAGGACCCCATACATCACAGAAAATAAGTTGAAAAGGTAAACTGGAGTAATTTAAAGATGTTGGAGAAGGTAATCGATGACTCTTGGAGGTGTAGCAAGTAGGACACGTTGGTGATAATGACTTGGAAAGTGGGAGATTGTGTTTCTTGATGACATGATAAACAATGCGTGAGGCTGGATGACTGAGTCGATTATGCCAGTAACTGATGGTTGTGCGGATGCTAGAGTGTGCTTGAGGGTGTGATAAGGATGCAGTGAGTGGGTACATGTTGTTATGGCTTGGACTGTGAAGAAGTGGGGTCATTGTTTGCTTGTCCTTCACAAAGAAAAAATCAGACTAAAATTTAAAGAATACATTATTATCACGACAGAATTTATTAACACTTAAAAGATTTTTTTGTAGAAGAAAGAGTGTGGAGAAGATTAGAGAGAAGAAAGTTGCCATTATTTGTGGTGAGGGTGCCAGACCCTTGGTGTTGAATGGTCATTGGTGAGCCATCGGTAACACGGACAATATTAGAGCCATGATAAGGAGTAGCTGAGAGATTAAGGTTGGACAGATCATTGGTCATATGATGTGTGGCCCTAGTGTCAAGATACCACAGAGAATCATGCACGGCAGAGTAATCAAAATAGTGTGCTGCAGTGGGTGGTGGTGGTAGTGCTTGAAGAGCTTGATTGTACCATTGGTTGCAGGTGTGAGCAATATGGCCATAGCGATCACAGAGTTGACATGGAGGATCATTGTCAGGCTGGAAAAAGTAAGAACGTCCTCCTCCTCCTCGATGAAATCTGTTGCCGCATCCACGAAATGTGAAGGACCTGTTGCTACGTCCATGAGTAGAGGGGTGATACGATTGTCGACCATATCCACAACCATCAGACGATGGTATGTTAAGGTAAGACGCTCGTGATACAGCATTGGCTGTGATTCCAATAAGAAGTTGAACAAAATCATGATGATTCATTCGAGCTTTATACTAAAGTAAACGACTGAGGATTTCCTTAACAGAGAGAATAGAGCGTTGAGTGGTTACAGATGTGACTATAGTGTTAAACTCAAGGCCTAAGCTAGCTAATAAATAAGTGGTAAAATCATCATCAGGAACAAGTTTGCTTACGGCAGCTAAAGAGTCAGCTAATATGGTAGCTCGACGATAATACTCAAATATGGTTTCACCACCCTTTTTGATGGTGGTGATTTGTTGATGAAGGTGAACAAGGCGAGCTTGAGTTTGCTAGGAAAATAGTGTTTCAAGGGCAAGCCACAGATTTCGAGAAAATTTGTGATGGAGAACTTGTTCAATGAGTTTTTCAATAATAGAGGCTATGAGAATGGAAAGAACAAGTTGGTCTTATTGGAACCATTGAAGGTAATCTCAATTGAAAAGTTCGGTAAGAGTTTTGGCCGGAGGTTATAGTATTAAACCATCAATATAGCCAAAAAGTTGTTGGCCATAGAGGTATGGCATAATTTGGCCTCGCCATATAAAATAATTATCTTATGAAAGTTTAATGGTAACAAAGTGAGAAAAGTTAGCGGCGGTATTGGTGGTGGGTTGAAGAGGAGGGTTAGTGGAGGAGATAAAAGAACTAAATAAAGGTGAGCCAGACATGCTTGACAATCTCACTGCTCTGATATCATAATAGAGCAAAAACGAAAAATGAATAAACTGAGTATTATTCCATGTGCACTAATTACAATGAATAGTGAATACATATTTATAGTGTGGTCTGATCAATAAGAGGATGACACGTTTTACAAAAGGAATGATCTGGAATTTGTGATAGTGTGTGAGGATCACATGATGTCTAATGATATTTTCTTCTTTTTGTTATTTGATGTGGAATCCCTTGCTGATGTGGTGATGGATGTATGCTTATGTGTTTTAACACCTCTCCTTCATTTTATAAGTGGGTGTTTGGATTAAGAAAATTTTCAACTGAAGTTAAAATAAACTGAGGTTAGAATAAAAGTTTGTGATCATAACGTGATTTATGTTTGAATGCTTTTCTTTTTAAAAGTAAGTTGGACAAATTGAAATTTGTTTGGATGATTTGATTCAAAAGCTAGTTCAAATATATAATGACAAAAATGGATGTGAATTTTCTTGTATATATTTTTGTGACTAATTTCATATTTTTAAGGAAAATATTAAACTTAAAATTACAAATTTTTTTAAAAAAGTATATTAAAATTACAATTTTACATGTGATTGGTTGGCTTGAATAAATTTCAACTAGATAAAATTCAAATCTATATCAAGAAAAAAGGATATTTGATTTCTTATTATAATCTATTTTTATTTAGTTTTATTATAGTTTATTGTAGAAGTTTTTTTCCTGATTTGATATTCTTGGAAAAAATACATTGACCTTTAAATTACAGTTTTTAATAAAAAATTATATATAATTAAGTATTATTTATAAATTATTAAAATATTGAATAAATAATAAATTAAAAATATTAAATTACAAAATACTTAAAATAAATTGATAGATAATAAAATGTTAAATTCTAAAAAGCTAAAATATATTGATAAATAATAAAAGATTAAATTATAAAATTGAAATTAAATTAATAAATTGGTAGATATATTATCCCATAAAAGTTTCAGAAAAATATTGTAAAATTTGCCACAAAGCGAAATATCACTTTTTTTTTTTCTTTTGCATGCAAGAAAACACTGCGTCATTTGTTTCCAGGGGTCATGGATGATTAAGTATCATAATAATATATCTACCGTACCCTTTACCAGTTGGAGAGAGAAATTTGACAAGAAGCTAAAGATGCATTACCATCGATGTTTACTAATGCGCGTTGAGAAGAGAAGCTCCTTGAATCAGCTTCAACCAAAACGAGCTTTTTCCCTCAAAAGCTCTTTTCAACATTTTTTTATCCAAACAAAATTTTTAACCTATAATGAGCTTTCAACAATCCCAACCGGGGTTTGGGCCACTCAAACCTCAATTAAAATTTAAATCAAACATTGCCTAAGACATTTTTTAGGTGATTTAGTATTTTAAAATATAAAATATTTTTTAAAATAAGAATTTATTAGTGATTATTTATCTCAATATTATTTCTCATTGTTTTACTCCTTAAACATATTTTTCTCTCTCTTATTAAATAAAGGATATTTTTATAGGTTCATAAAAAATTTAAAATTTAAATTGTATTTAATTAACTTTATTGATATTTGTAGTTTAAAAAAATATCCTATAAAATGGAGAGGAGAAGGTGCAATTATGATCTTGTTTATAATATAAAGTACTCCTTTTTGCTTCCATTATAAGATGCATTGTCAAAAAATTTCTTGGTCTCTAATACAAGTTGTATAAAGCGTTGTTAATTAACAACGTACAATTTCACTCATACAAAATTACAAGTATTAAAAAGAAGATTTAATTTTGATTTAATGTTTTTATATGATTTCTTAAATATTGTGTTTTTCTCTTTTTTATATAGAGTTAACTACTCTTCTTAAATTCTAATGAGATAGTTAAAAATGACTACGGGAGGGTATTTAACAAAAACAAAAGTAGTTATAATTATAAGCTATAAAATAAAAGGATGAAATAATCTTACAGTATTACCATTTAACCTGAGAAAGTATTTGCACAAATAACAAGATGATTATATCTTATTTTACTTAATGAAAATATAATTGAAAAGTTTATTTCTTGTTTACAAATAAAATAAAGTCCGCAAAAAACAAATAAAATAACATAATAAATTTTCTTAAAACACATGAAAAAATTGTCCAAATATCTTATAAATAGGGCTGGGGAAATAATTCTCATATTTATTTTTTTTATGTCAACAAACATGGCAAGAGTTCAAACAAGGGGAGTTTTCCATCGTTGACTGAAAGTATAAAGACTGAAGCTTGAGTTCAAACTACTTTATAATCTAATATAGGTATGTTTTCTCTTGATTCTGTAAGCGCTTTTGACTATAACGCAACTCAATCCAAAATGACTAGACTAGACAATACCATGTTCACATCACTAGTAAATTAATTTTTTTATTATTAGGATTAACATTTTACAAAGTAAAGTTTTCACTAATTACAATTTACAAATTAATGTTGAGATAAAAATCAATTATTACAATGACAAATGTGAATTTGGTTTAACAGAAGGGACTAGTCTCTCATAATATAGTAAACTGAGGACTTACTATTTGCTAGGAAAGATATTCACATTTAATACTCAACTATATATCAAACAAAATTGTCTCTAATAAGAAAATACTTATAAACAATAAAAAAAATTAATTACTACAATGTGATTTATGTTTAAACAATATCTTTGTAAAAAGTAAATTTAACATATTAATATTTTTTGAATGATATATAATTTAAAAATAGTTTTAGATATATAATAATTTAAAACTACTCTCACAAAATGACGAACCAAAATTCAAATTTGTATTAGAAGATGCATCCATATTTAATACTTAATTGTGATTGTCTTAAATAAAAAATCTGTAAGTAAAAA